TAACTGTAATTCTGAGACCTAGATGACCAGTCTGCATCTGGACCTTTGGCACTTGGCACGTTTTATTCTGTGTTTTATTGATTATTTGGTGTACTGTCAACATTTTCCTGTGAAAAATAAGTCAGGGAAGATAACTGAATATTTTAAGCATCTTATGTCACAGCAAAAGTTGATCAGAATTTCATGGAAGAAAGAAAAAGGTACATCAAAAGCCAAATTTTGAGGAATAAGTCAAAAGAATCCTTCGGGATAGATAATATGGCCTGGCAAAATACATAGATTACTACTAGTTGTTCACTTTATAATAAGTATATTCAAAGATTAAATCTTTAAGTGCTCTGTGTTTATTGATGTAACTCTCATTCAATTGAGGTCAATAGAGTTTTCCTTTTGTCTGTTAAGGCAAGGGAGGTAAGCCCATCCTCATTAAACCCCTCACAAAATATATTGATAATAGTCCCTGTTTATAGTAGAATGAATCTTTTCATTCACATGAAAGAGGAACTGAATGAAAATCCTTTAATACACAGATTAGGGGACAAATGCAGTTGGTCCCTGTGAACAGACCCTTGCAGTACCGCATTGACTTCTCACACAGATCTGGTGCATGATTATGCTTTGTGCTTCTATCTGTTGTAGTCTGCATTTAGATTCATAAAGCAACACAGTGCTTTTTCTTATTATTTGTTTTTCATTAGTAAAAAAATGAGACATTGAATGACTTCAGTGAGCAGTGTTATGTTTAACAGAAGTGTTCTACATGTCTGTAGTCTGATGATAAGTAAAGTTAACCACAATTCCTGCTCCATTTTTCTTTCAAAGAAAGTTTAGATGTATTTATATAAAAATACCAGAGTAGTTTTAGGTCTATTTTTCATACTGAATTCTTGTTTAAAAAGGAATTATTCCTATAAACAGTCATGATCTATATCTTTCATGACCCCTAGTTATTTTCTAGGTCAGTTAGGAGACCATTTTAATTAGGTAAAATGGTGTGTAGAGACGACCAACAAACCATTGTAAGATTTCCTTGTATGAGTCAAAATAGGCTCAATTGTTTAATTCTTCAACTATATGGGGCCCCAGAGACACTTCTTCAAGACAAGTAATTGTATTTTGAATCATATCACACAATTTTTTTTAAATGCCTGTACAACTTAAATGCTTCAGTCAAATTTAAATCTATGTTATAACACAAATGCCTTGCTATATAAACTTAGTTTATTAAAGGGGAGTTCCCCTCTTGAAAGCACAGAGGTGGAACAGGATCTTGGAGTCATTATTGACTCCAAGATGAACATGAGCCTCCAATGCCAGCCCGCAGCCAGCAAGGCCAGCCATACCTAATCATACATCCAAAGGTGGATCTCAAGCTAGTCCAGAGAGGTGATACTCCCCCTCTATGTGACTTTGGTCAGGCCGCAGTTGGAGTACTGCGTCCAGGACTGGGCTCCACACTTCAAAAGGGATGTGGCCAGCCTGGAGAGGGTTCAGAGGAGGGCCACCCGCTTGGTGAGAGGGCAGCAGGACAGGCCCTAAGAGGAGAGACTGAGGGACCTGAACCTGTTCAGCCTCAGCAAAAGGAAGCTGAAGGGGGACCTGGTGTCTGCCTACAAACTCATCAGGGGAGATCAACAGCAAATAGGCAGAGCCCTTTTCTCCCCAGCACCACCTGGGGTGACGAGGAACAATGGTAACAAGCTGATGGAGAATAGGTTTAGGTTAGAGATCAGAAGGCAATGTTTTACAGTTAGGGTGGCCAAAATCTGGAACCAACTTCCCAGGGAAGTGGTCCTTGCTCCTAACTTGGGCAAATTCAAGAGGAGGTTGGACGATCACCTGTCTGGGGTCTTGTGAACCCAGCATTCATTCCTGCCTGTGGTGGAGGTCAGGCTAGATGATCTGTTCAGGTCCCTCCTGACCCTAGCTACTATGAAACTATGACTATAAGAAACTAATTATAATTTTGTAGCCAAACAGTTAGTTAAGCTCTTACACAGTAATTTGTTCTTTATATTACACATTTATGTTTATATCATAAAAGCATTTAAATAAATGTTATTTAATTGTTTTCTTGGCATTTCTCTATGAACCAGCAAGAGGTAGAAGTGGGATTTTTAAATGTTCCCGGTGGTGGCCTAATTCTTTTCTCATTGAAATCAATAATAAAAGTCCCAATATATAAGAAAATACCACCCATGTGCTCTGAAATCGTTTGAAAGGTTAAAAAAAAGGTATTAAATATAATAAATGGCCTAGGCTAGTCAGTAGTAGTGGTGTCTGTTTTTGAAAGTTATTCATTACTGGAATAAAATCAGTATATGAATTAGATCAGAATCCAGGTGTTTATATAAAAGAAATTAAAATGGATCATATTATCCTTTTGAGGAGCAAGGTGTCTCTTTTTTTCCCTCTCTCTAAGTGCTTAGTGCTACTGAAAAAAACAAAAAAGGCCTCTTCAATTATGACCTACATATGTAATGACTGTGTAGTGCAGTAATACTACTGTGAGATCCTTTGAGATCTTGGGGTGCCACACAATGTTAGCACCAGTAGATGTGCAAACATGATTCACAAGGTAAGCCCAGACTTCAAATAGGAATCCATAATGTTAAAAATGTTCTGACTTATTGTGGTCTGTCTAAGTTCTTCTGAACAGAAGAATTGCTTTATTATTTTTCTGTGGTCAAAAACAAGTGAAAGCTAAGAGCTGGCATTTTCTGAAAGGTGTCTTGAGTTAAGGGTCTTTTTAGGTATTACACTTAAATCAACCTAAATAGAGTTAGGTCACTGTAAATGCCAAACTGTACATAGTTCAGGGAGGTTAGACTGGGCAAAAAATAGCCAGTACGATCTAACATAGTTCACCTAAGAGGTGCACGTGTTAGCCTGATTTACCAAATGTCTATACACATTCAGAGCACAGCCCTGGGGCTGGAGAAGCCCAGCTGCTCACCCCAGCCCCAGGGCTGTGCTTTTCCTACTGCATCCCTTCTGACCAGGCTATTTTTAGCTCCTTGGTCCCTTCCTTGCAAACCCACAAAACCTCTGTCCCTGTGGACACCCCAGCTCCACCTCCAATTCCACCAACTGCTCCCAGACTCACCAATACCAGTCTGTCACGGGATGCAGTCCTTAAGGCTGGCTGTGTTCTCCTAAGGCCCCTTGACCATGTCAGTTTGGGCCCGATGGGCACCCTCAGTTCTTTCCTGCCACGTCTTTGATGATAAATATGAAAATAGGGAGGCTGCCTCTAAGTCCTCTTGGACACGGTTTGATGGACTTACTGAACCCCGTGGGTTCTCGGACCCCTTGTGGGTCTTGCTTCACAATGGGTGTTTCGGGGCACCCTAGCCTTATGGGTTTTTATGCGTGGCTCCAACCTCCCCTTTACCACGCCCCAAGCCTCGCATATGGTACCAGCATTGTCTTGCCTCAGCCTCGTTGTAATTCAGCCCCTTGTCCTCACTGGGCCTGTCCCTGCACCCTCACTGGTGCCCCTTGTCCTCACTGGGCTCTCCGCAGCCCTGTCCCTGCGCCCTCTGTGGTGCCGGGGTCTCTGCACCCCAAATGCCATGCCCTCTCTGGTGCCAGGATCTCCACACCCCCAAATGCCACAGTCTCTCTGGCGCCAGGGTCTGTGCCCCCAAATGCTATGCCATCTCTGGCGCTGGGGTCCCCACACTGCAGTGGGCCCCCAATGAGGCCTCCTCCTTCCCCAAATAGCCTCACCCAAACCGCCAGTGTTATAAAACTAGAAACAAAACATAAGCCCCTGGACTATAACTTAACACAAGCTAGCAAAGGTGTGCTCTGCCCCTTTACCCTTACTCAGAGCAGAGGTTAGTCAGGCCTCTTTCCCCTCTCATTCTCAGAGGGCTCCTTCCCCCTTAGCCACTGGCAGAGAACTGCCTCCCTTAGTTTCAGCCGGGGGTCTATATGGGCCCAAGGCCCTGCCCCTTCCTGCCAGCTGACCAGGTACAGGTGCTGACTAATTTCCTCCTTAGCCAGTCGCCAAGGCAACCTGCACCTGGACTCTTGCCTGGCTCTTTGGGCTCTCCCCAGGCAGTTCCTGCTCTTCTAGGAGCAGGGCACCTTAGTGCCCTGCAACACAATCTATGATCACAAAACTTAAAGTAAGCTGCGTGATTAAAGATCAGATCTCAGGACTATCTGCACATGGTCTTAAAGGTTGAGAGCCACTGATTTAGGAGATATAATAGATACAGTATTCTGTTTGAGGCTACATTAATGTATAAACACTTTCTAACTTAGCCAAAATTAAATGCATTAGGTTTATATTATATTATATTTATTCTTTTGCTACCAAATTAATAATAAAGATTATAGAGGTACAAAATAATAAGTATTTAATAGCAAAAATAAATATCAAAACGATTTCATAGAATCATAGAAAATTAAAGTTGGAAGGGACCTCAGGAGGTCACCTAGTCCAACCCCCTGCTCAAAGCAGGACCATCCCCAACTAGATGATCCCAGCCAAAGCTTTGTCTAGCGGGGTTTTGAAAACCTCCAAGGATGGAACCTCCACCATCTCTCTGGGCAACCTGTTCCTACTAATGCAGCCCAGGATGCTGTTAGCTTTCTTGGCAACAAGGGCACACTGCTGGCTCATATCCAGCTTATTGTCCACTGTAATTCACAAGTCCTTTTCTACAGAACTGCTGCTTGGCCATTCAGTCCCCAGTCCGTCTTGGTGCTTGGGATTCTTCCATCCTAGGTGCAGGACTTTGAACTTGTCATTGTTGAACCTCGTGTCCTATATTTAAAATAATGTAATTACAATTTCAGTTATGTATACGTTAATTTGTGCTACTTAAGATAATTGAATTTAAGGGACTGTTATAGAATGTATAAGTAATTTTGTGGTGTGAAGCATATTTGAATAATCTGCTTTTCATAAAACTGGAAAAAAGGCTGTTAGAACATATTTTTTGCAAACATACCTATGCATCTGATTCCCTACCCACTATATTTAGATGGGACATACTTGGAGCTGTCATTGGTACTGAATGTGGAACTCTGGAATCAGGCTCATCTATAGTATTTCTCAGAGATGGAGAGAGAAAAATATGTACTCCCTATATGGACACGACTGGTTATGGGAACCTGAGATTTTATTTCAGTATGGGTGAGTATGTCTTTTAAACATATTAAGGATCTGCAAAGTATGAGAGGCTGGAATGGAATAATAAATGTGTAGTTGAACAACTTGAACCAAAAGAAGCTAAATATCTTTTATAAAACTGATGATTTAATACACTGGTGTGCTATTCAGTTTACATACCAGTGAAGCCTTGTTGATTTCAACAGTCATATCAATGTAAGATGGGAGTAGCAAAGTGGAAAATCAGACCTAATTAATTCTGTCTAAAGGTGAGATATACCTCTGTTATCTAATTCAGAGAATGTTTTGTTTTAGAGCTACAAAAAATCTCCTTATATAAGTAACACTACCACAATAGTGTCTTTCCAGACAATGAAATTCAGTGCAAGTGCAGAATGTCCACACGGCACATTCTGAAATACATAAACATTATCATACGTGTTGAAGTGATGCTATTGATCTCCACAGTGTAACAATCAGTTTCTGTGGCCTGAGCAGCAGTGATGATTGGACTAGCAGTGGTGGCTGAGCCCACAGTGGGCAGTGTTCTAGTACTCTGTCAAAATCAGCAACTTGGACTGGTACCCCAGTCATCCTCCCTTAGTTAGGCCAATTGATGATCATATGTGCCTTCCCCATTGAGCTTTCCATTGAAGGGGAAGCTTGCCAGGGAAAAAAGTGAAATAAAAACAGGTACAGCTCTGCCCTCTCCTGCCCTAAATAAGGACGCTGCTGTCAGCACAACTTTTATAAGGTGTTTGCTGTCACCAGTCCTAATTCTCATAAGCGTTTGTAGGGTATGGGGAAATTTTTCAATATTTTGTGGTATTTTTTCCAGGACATGTATAAATAAAGGAAATTGCATCCAAAGGTTATTCTCTCAATTAAGTATTTAGCCGGGTTTTTTAAAGTGTGAAAAATAATAGGATAATAAAGGAGGAAGCAGGGACCGAATTAGTGACCTTTTAAAGCAACCTTTTGAATCAACAAGAAAAAACACTCTTTATTCATTAAGTGGAAGTCCTGTTGTTGTCCAAATTGCTACACATCTTCCCTATCTTACATGAATTACTAGTAACACTCAGGAAGGAGAGGTTGAATTGTTTCCAGCTCTCCCAAGCACTGCAACACCTGCAAGAGAAACAGGAAAAAAAGTTTCTCAACCTTTTGAACTATGGGAGAAAAGCTGTCAGCTCAGCAGGCATGGTGGAGAAACTGGAAGGTCCTATTAAAAGTTTAGGTTGTGCCTGTTTATAAATTAAATTAATAGTGGTATAAACATTCAGGCCTACAAAGGCTTCTAAAAAGCAAATACTGTAGTACTTTCACACTTCAATCACCTCAAAGATGTGAACCATATAAAACTCTTCAGAATACTTTTTGCCTACTATCCCTTCAAAATTGGCTCTTTGCTAGCAAAGGCAACTGTCATGTTTCATATGTGTAACCTTAATGTCTCATAGAAGGTTAGCAAAGTTTTATCATCCTGTTTTTTAAACCAACCTGCAATACCAGTATGCAATTCCTGCATACACAGGAATGCACAAAACTTCCTTTTCCAGTGAGAAATATCTTGTTTTGATATTCATTTTCAGGGTACCAAAGGCCAACAAACTGTAGTCTTTGGTATCCACATTGTTTAAGAAGCTGTTGTAACTCTAAAAAAGGTATTTAAAGCCCTAGTTTAACACCCTAGCTACAACTCTATAGAAACTTAACAAGTCTCTTGGCTCTCTCCAGATATGAGATTATTTCCCCACTGAATCTCTGTCCATTTCCAAAGGATAAAACTGTCTCCTGTTTAGTCCCCGGTAGTTATACAAGAAAATGAGAGTACACTGTGCAAGATGCACAATGCATTTTACCAACATCCCAGTGGAGAGCAAATTCATTCCTGCCTGTCCACCTGAAGAGAAATAGACAGAGGATGTGCTTCCCTCAGTCTCTGGCGGACAGTAATGTAATCACAGCTGAATATGGAAAGGGAGGAAGAAGGGAATGAATGGAGCCTATCCACACCAAGCTGGGAGAACTGATTGGAGCCCTTCTCCCAGTTGAAGATTCTGGGACATAGGACTAAACCCAGTTCACCTCTGTGAATCGCAAATGCATTGGGAGAAACACCATTGAGGCTGCTATGTTAATGCATCAGCTTTCAATTCAAGTAGTCTTTTATTCAGAGATTTGAAGCACTTTACAAACACTAATTTGTCTTTCCACCGGAGCCTGTGACTTGGATAAACACTGTGCTCATTACACATGTGGCAGAGGTCATCTAGCTAAGCTTATCCAAAATCTAAAACCCCAGCTGTGAAAGGGCAAAGAATAACACAGAAATCCTTCTGACTCCCTAGTCCCTATTGTATCATTAGACTGTCCTGCCATCCATTGGGAAATGGGTTTTTGCTCAGTAAAAATTGAGCCTGTTATCTTTTTCCCTAGTGAAAGTAATGGCAATGACAATTGCACATGGCGCTTCTCTACAATATTGATTAAGGGTTTTGTTGTTGTATCAGTATGGATCACAGACATTTGTGGCACCAGCCCACTGGTATTCAGTGCCCCAACATTGCTCTCTTTGAGAGGCAGAAAGACAGACAAAGAAAAAGTGCCAACACCACCACTCATGAAGAAATGGCCAGGTGTACACTCTCCTGTACCAAGCTAGATTTATTGGCTAGTGGGAAAGGTAAAGAGAGAATAACTATGGTCTTATTCCCTCTCTGCATTTCCCCTCATATCTTTCGGAAAAACTGGTACTGAACAGCCATTCTACCAGCTGAACCAAGCACGGTCTTTATGGCCTCTACTTGCACAGCACTAGACAGAGCCCCAGGCCTTTGTCTCTACCCATAATGTAAATACCATAAGTAGTAGTACTGATTTGTACCAGAGAGATGAGAAATTAAATATTAAGAAGACCACTTCCAAACAAATAGGGTTTAAAAGGTACAGATAAAAACACAGCTTTTGGCATTACTTTTTATTAAAAGTTATTTTAATGAGCTGGTTAAAAAATAATTATTTCATGCTTTTACATTGTCAGTCCCTTGATCTCTGGCATGACCTATCTGATCAAATAGTTCTTATGCATTACGTCCTTAAGGCTTGTGTTCTTTTGTTTCAGACTTTAAATTAATAACATTTGGAAGTAATTATGCTCATAATTATGGGAATTTAATGTGAAACTGCTTTCAAATAACATGGCTTCAATTAGTCTTTTTTTTCCCAAATGTGGATTGTAAAGGAGGAACTTGTGATTCTGGAGAACCCCATGAAAACAATGTTATCCTCTATGCCAAGATTGAAGGAAGAAAAGAACACATCATGCTTGATACCCTGACCTATGCTGCTTATAAAGTAAGTATATTTAAAGATGATATATAGACAGTATGCACGTTAAAGCCAATTTGTCCATGGCAAGTATGGAATTCTATGGGTATTGTTAAACATAAGCTTTTCAGTTAAAGTATACACAGGTTGAACTATTGAAAGGTACTTAACCATCACAGTTCTGAAATGCCTCTGCTTCCCTAATATTGTGAGCAGTACTGATAGCTTATTTAGTGCTGGGATAATAAACAAATAAGAAGGTAGTAGGTAAACATAATAAAAACTTATCATTATTATAGCCATGTATAGGTCAGGGAGAGGCATACAACGGCATATCATTAGCAGTGGAAGTATTTTCTGAACATGGAAAACATGGCCCGTTCTAGTTCTGCTCACAGACTTCGGGAAGCAGCAAGCATGTCAGATATATAAAGCTGGCACTGGCTAATAACTCGCAGTCCTGTTGTGAAAACTGAGGTTGCCTTTAAAAAGAATGTGCTGTATTTGTTGCCTCTGAAAATATTCAACTATCATTTGTGATTTCCAGAAAATTCTCCATTCCCATGATTTGTCAAGGGAACACTAGAGAAAATTTCATCCTGAATTTTGTCAAGTTTGTGCAACTCCAAGTAAAATTTGAGAAATTTAGGGGAAAGTAAAAAATACTAAATTCAAGAGTGGAAGGAGTATTTATAAAGCTTCCTCGTAGTTGTCCCTCTATGAAGGGGAAACATCCCTCAAATACGGGCAACCAGGGATGGGGGCACAGAAGGGTTTTGGGAAGGGCTGTGCCAGCATCTGTCCATATCACCTCTTGTGCCTATGCACAAGTTAGACCGGTTCTAAGGCTGTATATGGTTAAGCCACCCCAGTAGGAGGTAGAAGAAAGAATATTTCACTGTGTCAAATGCCAGAAAACTCAGCCTGTTTCTCCTTCATTTGAAACCCTTATGAGCCCCATGCAAGTACAAGTAGCTTCTCTGGACTTTATTCACTGTGCTCCCACCTATGATCTGAACTGCTGATGTAAACTGTATTTTCCAAGGCAGAGACATTCCAGAATTAGCCAATAAAAGAGATCATCTTGCTGAGAGCATAGACTGGAAAAGCAGCTATTCCGAAAAGCCATTTCCTTCTGCCTGGCCTACTCACTAATCTGTGTACACTAATCAGGCAAGGAATTAAGAGTCCTGAGCTAGGGAATAGAAAAGTAAATTCTTGCTTGTGAAGGTAGGTGGGTGGGTGGGTGGCTATGTGTGTATACATACCCACACACACAAAATATTGTTGTGAACTACACTATAGCATTGAGAATATAGTATTAAAGTTTATTTAAAATCTCACTTTTGTCTGAAATTGTTTTCATTTGCTGCTGTTAGCACCTAAGATTACTATAATTACAAAATTTAAAGAAAAAATGTGTTGGGATTTTTCAGTTACTATACCTTGATTTTTTGGCAGCTGTTGTTGAATCAGTTTCATTCTTCCACTATAATCAGTTTCATCAGCTCTCTTCTGCACAGCACCAGGAGAGGAAATTAAACAACAAAACAATCTCCTGCTTTCCCCACCCCCCACCCCTATCAAGAAATTCTGATTGTAAAATAGGAAAAATGTAAGAAGGGAACCCAGAGGGATCCTGAAATTGTTTTCTCAGATCAACTAAATTAAAAGCTGATAGGGCCTCTTAAATACCAGTCCTGTAGCTCCACTATAAGGGCCAAATGTCATCAAAAGAACACTTACTCAGATTTCACACAATGTGGCATTACCTCCAAATTTGCCAGTTTACTCATATTATTATTCTAGAGTATTTAAACCAGATGTGCAGTTTCATTATATATGTTAATGTGGATTGGAATAGTTAAGAGACGATGTCCTCTTCAAAGCACCATTATTGCTAAGTATCATAATTAGTATTTTTCAGAACACAGAAAACATAGCTTGTTCTTTAATAGGTTTAAAATCACCAGCCTTGATTCCTAGTGTGCTGATGATCATCCAGTTAGTTTGAATGAGTCTTCATGTTTTGTGGAAAGAAGTAAGTTAATTAAATAATGAAGATGAAGGATGCAAGGTAGGAAATGGAGAAATATCGTTAAGAACCTTTTGAATTATTTTTCCTGTTATTCAGTAGTATGTGTACCTTATTCTATAAGCCTAATTAGGTTAATTTCTGTTGAAGGTTCCATCTTTGGTTTCTGTCGTCATTAGTCCAGAGATGCAGACTCCTGCAACCAAGTTTTGTCTCAAGCAAAAGACTCATCAGGGGCATAATATGAATGTCTGGACTGTCGATTACTTCCATGTCCTTCCTGTCCTCTCTTCCACTGTAACTCATATGATACAGTTTTCCATAAATCTGGGCTGTGGAACTCATCAACCTGGTAACAGGTACAGCAGATTAGATTGATCTTGCAGCTGCTTTGTTTCTTTTTTATATTATCTGTAAAATTATTGCACTATTTTTCCCTGAAAGAAGAAAATTAAAAACAACAAATGTAGCTTGGTTTGAAAGTGACATGAAGCAACTTTTAGCAGCAGTCTAGCATGTGATTAAGGTACTGGGTTTGTTTTGTGGAGACTGTGATCAGCTCTTGTGCCTTCAGCAAATTCCCTTTGTGACTATAGGCAAACTAATCAAAGCCTGATCCATTAAAGTTAATGACAAAGCTCCTATTGACTTCACTGGTCAAAAAGTCAGGACTCAGTTCCTCTTCTACACTATGAGGATAGCAATACTTCCCAACCTCACTGCTTTAAATGTGTATTTCTTCATCCCTACTCTGACATAACTCCAGTTGATTTTAATGGGACTTTTATTCAGTAGGATTTGGTACTTCATGCTTTGTAAGGTAAAGGAATTAGATGTGAGATGTAATCTTCCTGTATCTTATAAAATATACCTTACCATCATGGCTTTCTCAGTTAACCAGGAAATAAAGGAGAACTGTCTCCAAAATAGACTTGTATATAATCTTTGCTTAAGATGACATAGTGCTACGTGGCTAGGTATGTGCCTGCAACAACCTCATTTACTGACCTTCCCTAGATTATTGCTGCCACAAAACTGAATACCTCCCATAGAAATGGCGCACAGTGGCCATTTTTAGGTCAGGAGTGTATGGCTATATATATGAAGACCATCACATCTAGGCCTACTTTATATAAACTTTGTGGCTTCACTTCCAGAGGGGCTTTGAAGTGTGGAGGAGGAAATAGGATGGAAGAAGCCAACTGTTGCTCAGTTTTTCACCCCCATAGATGGCTTTCTTGTGATCTTCCATGTGTAATGGTTGCCAGAATTTGTGCTATTGTATTTAAGGGTTTTAAAAGCAATTTCAAGTATTTTTAGCAATAAGTTTTCAACAACTTAAAAACTAAATTTAAAATGACTCTTTTAAAGAAATATTTATTTTAAAATGCATAAATAAACATATTTATTATATAATCTGTGACAGTTTTTCTGTGTGACTTTTCAGAAGAGTTTTTTTAAGTTTTGAAAGATTAATTTTCGTCCCATTAATACAGCATTTCTAAGACAGAAGTGTGTCCCTTTACAGCAATAAAAGAACTAACTCCCTGTAAGCCTGATTTGCGTGTCACAAATAATTTGGCAGTTCAGATCTCCTTGTCTACAGCATTATTCATAATGCTTTCATTACTGTGCACGTAAGAGACTCTCACAGAATAAGTTCCATGAATGTGACCTTCTAAGGTGTCACTGTAGTTAAATCTAAAATTAATTAGTTGAAACCTCATAAAGAATTTTAATAAACATTTGTTATATCAAAACAATAGTTACATAGTAAGACCCACTTTAAGTAAAGTCATATTCTCGGCAAATTATTCTGAAATGGAGAAGTCATAATCCTATAATTTTGCGTCAGAAAGATGAATTATGACTTTTTTAATGGTTCATTGGTATTATTTAAAATAAAATGGAGGAAATTGTGCTGAGTAAATTACTGTACATGTATATTTCAATAAAGCAACAGATCCTTAATAATTAAATAATTAATTAATCCTTAATAAATTAATCACTTTCTAAATTACTTATGGAAGCTTCACAGAAAGTTAGAAATCTAAGAACATCCCTAGAGTCATTTGTTGTAAACACTTGAAACATGAGCCAGAGTGAAATTCAAAGGAGGAAATACAATCAGTATCTTCTGGGGAGCTGAACCTCTCCATGAACCTTTTTAAATATAACACAGGGAATGATGCTGCACTGCCAAGTTTTCTCCCGGTCTAATTTCCTTCTCTGGCCAGATGCACCAGTGTGTTTGTCCAGTTTTGGACATACCCACACATTTGACATTCATGTTACTAATGCAACATAAAACAGCAGTGGTGCTGATGATCCTGGTCTAGCCCTCAGGAAATCTGCAGAGCTCTTGTAGGTCATACATGGAAATTTGAATTTGTTCAAGTGACTTGTCAAATCCACCACTACTCTGCACATGTCCTATCTAGGAAACAGGAAGCTTTCACAGGCCTTTTTAACTAGGACTATGGACAGAAGAAAAAAATTAAACTACATTAAAAGATGGGGAGAAGGACTTACCACCTATGAGTGAGTGTCAGCGGGCATGTCTACATGTGTATTAATGCTCTGTGCCTAATGCTCATTAAATTTAGCACCTCCAGTGTGAGGGCATTTTTACATGTGCTCCAGGAGTGGTGGGGACAGCACTTTAATTAGAGCAGTGCCCAGACCCGCTCTAATTAAAGCTCCACCATGTCTCCTGTATCAGCATCCCCATGCTTAAAAACGGTGGCGGGGGAGCTTGAACTAAAGCTCATTCAAAAAGTTTTAGTTCACGTGCCCCTGCTGCCATTTTTAAGCATGAGGATGCTGATACATGAGATGCAAGAGGCTGCTGGAGCACAGTTATTGCCAGCTTTGACACAATGTGATTACAGCATATGTAATGACAATGCATTGGAGCAACCTCTGCACTCATGTACAGGCACCCTGAGGTACTAACTAATGCACATTAGTCTGCTATAACGCACAGTAGCGAAAGTGCATGCTTTTTTAGTGATGTTTAATGCACAGTAATTTATTTTTACTGCACATTAGCATATTAGCATGTTTTTTTATGCGGCACTTTAATGCATAGTAAAATATGTTACTGCACATTAAAACACACATGTAGATGTGCCCAGCTGGTTCATTTTAACTGTTCTGTGTACTCACTCCTATCCTACAGTGAGTGAAACTAAAGTGGAGCAGTTTACCCTGAAATAAAAAGCTACAAGAGTTAGCCTCTATGGGCATTTATACACGTGCTCTGGTGGGGAGGTGTTTTAATTAGAGCAGTATGTAGAAAGATGCAGTTATGGGTAGAGGCAATGAGCAGTTAGTTCCCCCACTCCCAAATATGAAGTGAAGCTTATTCCTTTTTTGAATGACACACAGGCCCTGGCAAAGGGCTTTGAAGGCCATTGCATCTAATTCCCATTAGAGAGCAAGAAAAATAGAGGCACGTTAGGTAAAGGAATGGCATTCTTTCTTCTGTCTTTTAAATATGTAACTTTCTGGTGATCGACAATAGTAATGGCCTTTCCCAAATCTTATATGAAAAATAAAACAAAAAGAATGAATTAAAACAAAGGAAAACTAGCGTGTCTGTCCAGCAATGAGAGAATTCACTTCTGTTACTCCAACTTTTATGACTATTGCCAGCTTTCTGCTCAGGGGGAGTGGAAGGCCAGACCAAATATAGGTGACCTGCACAATATAGAGCTCATTTACGTACTTCACAATGCACAGCTAAAATATAGGGGTTCCTTTAACAGGCATATTTTTCCTGAATAGGTTGGCTTATTATAGAGCAAGTATCAACAGCCCTCCGTGATATGGATGGCTTAGAGAGTCAGAGATATTTTGAGCCAGGTAGTGTTATTATTTGGTTTCCTTATCAAAGTAGCTATTCTTGTATGCCAAAAATATATCAGTGGCTGTGTGATGTGCTACATGTTTGGTCAGTTAGTCACTTGGCCTTTCAGTCCAGATGACTCTGGGCAAAGCAAATATAAATAACAAATCAATTGCTATCTTAATCTAGTATCCCTCCCAAATAAATAACATTTCACGGTGAGATTCTTCCTCTCAGTCTCTTCAGCATTCACTGACTGGTTTTTCCTGACACATCAGAGTATCATCAATCCCATTTAAACACAGTGTAAAAAATAATCTCATAATGAGCAAACAAAGACTGTAGTAATTGCTTTCCTATCCATCAGGTAAAGGCTTTCTGACATAGATTACCTTCTGTAATCTTTAAAAGACTGAATTTGTTTTCTGTTTGGAGTTTGTGCTTTGTACTTAAAGCATTTCATACCTCAGCATCAGAGTTATCAATTATTAAGCAGCCAGTGAGTTTTGAAGCTTTTATATGCTGGTGCTACAAATACAGATTTATTGCATTTAGTCAGAGATCAATACTCACAGTGTGTTTGTTTCTTTGTATTGCCAGTGTCAGCTTGGAGTTTTCAACAAATCATGGTCGTTCCTGGTCCTTACTTCACTCAGAGTGCCTGCCTGAGATATGTGCTGGACCTCATCTTCCTCACAGCACAGTCTATGCCTCTGAAAACTATAGTGGGTAAGAGAATTGTCTGCCAAGATAACTATGGTTCCAGACTAGGAAAGAAAGTCAACATTTTTTTACACTGGAAAGCAGTGAATCAATGATCCCTATTTAACCTTTCATTTCTGACTAGCTGAGGACAGGAAACATGGAGCATGCCAGCCTCTGCAACTACCCAAATATGAAATATGAAGGACATAGGGGTGCAGACTGAAATGCAGCTCCCAGCTGTAACTCGAAATGTTTTCTGCAAAGTGTTCTGAGTTACAAGGTTACCCCAGACCAAACAAAAGGTCACTGCTGGTTCCAGTGGAGAGGGGAATCTAGCTGCGGGCTGGGATCCTGCACCCAGTTTCCCATAGCAGTGGCCAGGCTCTCTGCCAGTGCTCACTGTTTTCAGAATGGGAGGGGGGAAGGCAGTGGAGGGAGCTCCTTCTCGGGGCTCCCCAGCTGGTGCTCAAGGGTGAGGTGGATGAGTTGGAGCCCCCCACCTTTTGGGGGGGGAGCTCCAATACACCCCCCTACCCTCCAGGGGGGGCTGTAAAACCCAAGACTGAACTCCCTGTACTCCCTTTCCCCCCTCCTATTCTGAAAACAGTGACAAGCAGGGAGCTTCACAGACACAAGTTACAAACGATGCTGCATTTTGAAACATCTTCATCTGATACCTCATGGAATGATGGGTCAGATTTTCACCCAATGGGCCATTTTTAAGTGGTCTTCAGCCATGCACTTGTGTTTGGTCAAAGCTATAAACTGCTTTCTGTGGCCAGATTGGGCAAAAATTGAAACTTCTGTCTGTGCTCAGGGTCTTTTCATTTATCCAGTGATGTTTTTGTGATGCTACAGGCAAAATAAATAAAATTAAATGAGAGTAACCTATCTGAGAGTTACCTGTTTTGATAAATCCAGTAAATGGTAATAAATAAAAATGATCCCATTGAAGGCCATGATTTACAAGATCATGCATTCTTACTATTTTAAATGATGATTATACATAATTACACTGGAAACCAGGATCTCACTAGCTAGAAGCTCTCAGTGCTACAGTTTTATTGTACAGAACTACATGTAGATGCTCAATAAGAAAAAGAAATAGCCATTGAATGACAAATCCTAATACATGGGCGACTAGTGCCTCCTGAGTCTGGGGGGGGGCACCAGCTCGCCAACAGGGGGTGGAGGGGCAGCAACTGATCAGTGAAACAGGAAGTACACTTCTGCAGGGACTTCCGGTTTCATGGCTGGTGCTTCCAGGGGGTGTACGTGCACCCACGTGCACCCCCTCCATGTCACCAATGCCTAATTATGTGCTAATATAACAGAGGAAGGAGGAGGGCCCTTTACTTATACTCTTAACTACACTACCAATGTAAAGTGACTGCCAAAGGGTTCCTCTCACATAGGGGTGAGGAACCTTGGTGTCACCAATATTTACAATCCCACCATTCTTTCCCCCTCAGAATAAAGTCTTGTCATGGGTATGACTGGGGTAGGGAACATAGTAAGTGTCATTATAAAACTCTTGGGTGCCACAATAGCTGGCTTTAATGTAGAACAGACATGAGGTAGCTGGATAATATGGGCATCTGGTGGTCATGCAAATACTTAAAACAGGTAGAAGCTGCAGTATGAACAAGATCTAGTCACAAGACTGGGTGGCTGGGTCTGTGTCAAATAATTCCTACACTCCCTCTCTGGGGCCTCAACCAAGAGTTTAATTCAGTCTGTAGTTTAAGGGGAGCCCATAGCTCTGGAGAGATCCATTGCTAAAAGAGTTGTGATAACTTTACTTCTGAGAGTAGAAATGACTGATTTTTTACAGTGTTTTAAATAACATATACTGCACAGTACACAGTAAATAATTTTGCTGTGCCAAAAATTCTGCTTTCATTTGCATTTTCCAAATTGACATGTGAAAATGAAATCTAGACCCATGTGTATATCATCTGCTTAGTACTCTTCTGAGTAAAATAAAGACCTCTGAAATTCATACAGATGCTTAGCCACTATCATTTTAAAAGGTAGGAACTTGTGTTAAATGTGTTTCAGGTGGAGCCGGATAACTATTCCCCTTCCCAATGCGGCATTAACCGAAAACACGAGGATTCGATGGAGACAAATTGGACCAATCCTTGGAAATATGTGGGCAATTGATAATAGTTAGTATTCATCATCATCACCTATAATTTGAGTAGAATATCCATGGAGTACGCTTAGTAAACACAAATTTGGCAATGTCATAAGCCTCAGGATTTGCAGTTTGTTAAATGTGCTTCCTTCTTATGTGAAGTTAGCAGACAGTGGGCACATACATGTACATGTGCATTAACACGCTTTAGTTAATGTGCATTTAATCTAGTATCCCTGGATGCCTGTACATGAGCGCAGAGGCTGATCCGACACACTGTAATCCATTAGATTAATTGAGTCTGCTGGAGTGTGGTAATTATTGTACTCCAGCAACCTCCCACATCTCATGTATCAGCAAACCCCACACTTCAAAATGGTGGCAGGGGTGCTTGAACTGAAGCTTATCAAATGAGATTTAGTTCAAGTGCCCCTGGTGCCATTTTGAAACACAGGGATGCTGATACACAAGAGGCTGCAGTGTCTTAATTAGAGTGGCAGAGCCACTCTAACTAAAGCACCACCCTCCCCACCACCTCCAGAGCAAATGTAAAAAAAGCTTAAAACTGCCAGGATACTGCCAGGTACATATAGATCGATAGAAAGATATTTATGTATATATATATTTACATTTTAAATGATGCATATCACATCTAATATACCTATCAAATAAATATAGCTGGATCTATTTCTCAATCTATTGATCTAATAATCGGTAATGTAGATCATAGAAAGTTATGGTTGGATGGGACCTCAGGAAGTCATGTAGTCCACCCCCCTGCTCAAAGTAGGACCAATCCCAACTAGATCATCGCAGCCAAAGATTTGTGTAGCTGGGTTTTGAAAACCCCCAAGGATAGTGCTTCCACCACCTCTCTGGATAACCTGTTCCAGTGTTTTACTACCCTCCCAGTGAGAAAATTCTTCCTAATATCTAACCTAAATTTCCCTTGCTGCAACTTGAGACCGTTGCTCCTTGTTCTGTCATCTGTCACCACTGGGAACAGTCTAGCTCCATCCTCTTTGGAACTATCCTTCAGGTAATTGAAGGCTGCTATTAAGTCTCCTCTTCTCTAGACTAAATAAGCCCAGTTCCCTCAGTCTTTCCTCATAAGTAATGTCCCCCAGCCCTCACCATTTTTGTCCCCCTCCACTAGACTCTCCAATTTATCCACATCCTTTTAGCAGTGGGGGGCCCAGAACTGAACACAGTACTCTGGGTGTAGCCTCACCAGTGCTGAATAGAGGGGAATAATTACTTCTCTTGACATACTGGCAGCACACCTACAAATGTAGCCCAGGATGCCATTAGCCTTTTTGGCAACAAGGGCACACTGTTGGCTTATACTGAGCTTATTGTCCGTTGTAACATCCAAGTCCTTTTCTACAGAGCTGCAGCCCAGCCAGTTAGTCCCCAGCCTGTAGCAGTGCATGGGATTGTTCCATCCTAAGTGCAGGACTTTGCACTTGTCCATGTCGAACCCTCATGAGATTCCTTTTGCCCCAATACTCCGATTTGTCTAGGTTACTCTGAATGCTAGCTTACCTTCCAGCATATCTACTACTCCCTCCAACTTGGTGTCAACTGCAGAGTTGCTGAGGGTGCACTCTATGCCATCTTCCAGGTCGTTGATGAAGACATTGAACAAAATTGGCCCCTGGACCAACCCCTAGGGCACTCTACTTGATACCGGCTGCCAACTAGACATTGAGGCATTGATTGCTACCCTCTGAGCCTGATGCTCCAGCCAGTTTTCTATCCACCTTACAGTCCATTCATCCAACCCATACTTCCTTAGCTTGTCTATGAGAATATTGTGGGAGACTGTATCAAAAGCCTTGCTAAAATCAAGGTATACCACATCCACCAGTCTTCCTGCATCCACAAAGCCAGTCATCTCATCATAGAAGGTAATCAGGTTGATCAGGCATAACTTGGCCCTCAGCGAGTATACACACACACACATTTATACATATACATATATAAAGAAATATGAACATGTCTCTCAAGCATACATATATGTTTGTGTGTGTGTGTTTGTGTAAGTATGTATATATATAAAAAGAGAGAAAAAGAGAGTGCTAATGAAGTAGTTAATTTTCATTACTTTTTTATGATATTGTTTCTGTATTCACTTGAATGGGATTTAGTATCAACTCCACATTTCCAAGGCAAAATTAATGCTTGCTTTTAGAGATAGTGACATTATGTCAAAAATAAAGCAAAAATGAAGGATAAGTGCATGGATACATACACGGTTAGATGTCAAAACAGTGGTAAGTATGAAAGTCAGTAAAGGTGAGTTACTGTGTAGGGGTATGAAAGTCAGGAAAGGTGAGTTACTGGTTAGGGAAATGCAAAATGTAACTGTCAGTACAAGTTCAAGGAAACAAAAGTATGATAAAGTCAAGGCAAGTCTACAGTCTGTAGGACAATGCACTAGAAACAGATGCAAGTAGAATACAAATGCATGATTTGGAATACTAATACAAAATTTTTATTAGTAGTAGTAGGAGTTTTAATGATGATAATGATGATTATAATCTGTATGTTGGTGTTGGCTATCTTCTGTTTGTCACGTAATACAACCTTTCATTTAACTAATTTCTCTTCTCTGCAGTTTATATTGGTCCATCTTGCCTCAGATTCTGCTCAGGGCGAGGACAATGCACTAGAAATGGCTGCAAGTAAGGGTTCTAATAATTCAAGAGTTAGTACGTTTGCTTTTTGTCAGGTAGTTCATTTTGTACTCTAACATTTATAAGATTCTTCATTTCATTTGTAGTGCTATAAAGCTAAAAAATCAACTAAAGTAGCATTTGATAAACTTTAATCTTTCTGAATTACAGTGTTTTTAGTAATTTTGGCACTTTATTTAATAATTTTCTTGTATAATTAACCTGGAAAGGGTCTGACTTCCCATTCCTTTTGAATGCACTGTATTACACTCAAGAAATGTTAACTACATATGGTTATGTCCTTTTTATGATAAATTGTGGCTGCATCACTTTTTCATTAGTTGTGCCAATAATGAACAGAATAGAGTCTTTATCTTTGTAGTTTTGGTAGACTGAGCCAAAAGGAGTTGAATTTTAGAGGGTCAGCACTCTGTGCTTTTTGAAAAATAAGCTTCTTCAAGGGGTCTTACCCCAAGGCAGCAAGGCAGTCAAAGTCACTGGGCATTTTGGAAATGTTAGGTTAATTATATTCAGGCATTAGAGTTAGCTCAATCACATGCTGAATTCTGTTTTATTGTTAGTTATAATCATGTTTGACAAACTGCAAATACAAGCAAGATGATAACTTGGCACATGAGCCAGTCTGTAGTGTTAGGGTCCCGCTACATGTGCAGGTAAAGGCACAGTGGGATTTAATGTGAGATCCACACAATTGCACCCTCTTCTGTACCACATGTTCATGGCAGGAGGTGTGATTGTGGGATTGTGCACTAGATCCCATCACACCTTATCACCAGTGCAGGGAGAGCCTGAGATCAGGTTCCCAAGCTCCCCCTGCACCAGCTCCCATGGCTGTGAGCCCCATACCTGATGGCTCACAGCAGGAACAGACCCAGAAACACTGCTTCCTCTACCAGCTCATCAGCTGTGGGGCTTGCAGTGGGGGCAGCATCATCGAATGCAGAACGTGCAGCAGAGGCGGGGGGGCGAATGGTGCCACTCCTGAGAGCCTCATCAGCTGTGGGGCCCACAGAGGCAGCACGAGGCTGTGATGCTTGCAGTGGGGAAGAATGCTGCAGCCACTGTGAGCCCCACAGCTGATGAAGCTTGTGGCAGTGTTCTCCCTACTGCCCCCACTCTGAACCCTGCAGCCAATGATGCTGCCCCCACTGCAAGCCCTGCAGTGATGAGGTTCGCCGCAGCATCAGCATTCTTCCCATTGCAAGCCCCACAGCCAGTGATGCTGCCCTGCTGTGAGCTCACAGCAGCAGCAATGTCCCTGGTGCTACCCCTGCTGTGAGCTCAGCACCTCACAAGGCTCCCAAGGGAGGTAGTGATCTTCCTGCTGCGGGCCCCACAGCTGGTGAGGCTCACAGTGGGGGCAGTGCCTGGAATGGTACCACCACCGCGAGCCTTGCAGCTGCAGGCCTGGCAGTGCGTGGTTCACTCCTGTGGCTGGGAGCTCCTCAATTCATGGGGCTCCCAGCCACAGGGGAGCACTTGGCACATGTTGAGCGGATATTCAATTGAGCCCATGTTCAATTAATGCCATGATTAGAACAATCTACATTTTTTGTGGAATAACTTTGTAGCTTATTGCTTGCTTTATCATGCCATTGATTGGTTGAATGTGTGGCTGGGTCATAACATAAGGTGTAATTAACTGGTTAATCACACCTTAAGGAACATGTAGAAGGGGCCTTAGAGACATCTTTGTATCAAAAAGAAAACAAAGCTCTTCTATATTTTTATTTTAGATGAAGATATTGATCTCTTTTTACATGCATGTGAGATTTCTTTCTAAACAGGGAAGTGAAATATTAACCAGAACAAAAACATTGTCCATAGAATATTTCCATAAAGTTTAATTTATTTAGAAAAGAGCATAGCATTTAGACTTTATTTTTAAGGTCTTAAAAGTTTACAACTTATGTTTGGATGCAAAACTATTACCTGATTTTCTACAGGAAAAGCAAAAGGGAAACATAACATTAAGTCAATATTGATTGTTGTGTTTAATCTATCCTGCTTACAGGTGTGATCCTGGCTTTTCAGGTCCTGCATGTGAAATGGCCTCTCAGACATTCCCAATGTTTATTTCAGAAAGCTTTGGCAACTCAAGGCTCTCTTCTTATCACAATTTTTACTCTATCCGTGGTGCTGAAGTTAGTTTTGGCTGTGGAGTACTCGCAAGTGGGAAGGCCTTGGTTTTTAACAAAGATGGAAGGCGTCAGCTTATCACTTCTTTTCTTGACAGTTCACAGTCCAGGTGAATACAACAGATTGGCAACAGGATGTAGACAAATTTAGAAACTATATTTGGAATAGTAATCGATGGGTTTGTTTTTTGGGGGTTATAATACTTGCCTTTATTTAACCACTCTTGTAGCACAATGATAAGCATTTTGAAACACTTTGTTTTGTGTTTTAATTTTGATTGTAAGGAATAAGTAACAATCCTTTCACTGTTCCAGATTTGTAAATAACATGAGTATTAAACAGGTTTGGGGGCAATTATTGTACAGCCAGGTTGGAAAATATGAAATGTTAATATCAAAACTAAGTGTCAGAGCCAAGTGCTAATTAATTATTTATAAGGTTGTATTTATTTGACAGCTTGTGGCAGCTGATTAGATCCATTCAGTATCTCCTCCTCCCCTCCAGAGCCTACTAAATAATTAAATGCTGTAATGATTGGCATTTTAAAAATATATATGCCACATTGCATTACTTGACTGTAAAAACAATTTCAGCTACAAAGACCCATAAGTGGTTTTATCATAATTTGTCTCTGTTTTTAAGATCAGAAAATATGATTAGGAAAAAACACAATATAAATGGTATACTAAAAATGTTGATATCATTCCAATCTAGGTTCCTCCAGTTCACTCTGCGCCTGGGAAGCAAGTCTGTACTAAGTACCTGCAAGGCTCCTGATCAGCCTGGGGAAGGAGTGTTACTGCACTATTCATATGACAATGGGATTACATGGAAACTACTGGAACATTATTCTTATCTCAACTACCACGAGCCAAGGTATTGAAGCAGTGGTTTGTGTAAATGCACGTGCACTGAGATGTAGGGGAGCTAATTTTATATACTGGACCCTGGCCAATTTTCTACATTACTGAAAACCGGTGTATTCACAGCACTGAGCCCTGGGCATTGGCAGTCAAACTCAGACTTGATGTGCAAGCAAATTGTCTTCAGTGGGGGTGCATATGCTTCCACAAGGAATGATTTTTATCCTCAAGAGAACAAACAAGTTGTTCCAAGTATATTTTGAAGCTCTAATAAGGAAAAGTGAACAGCACATGAGCATCAGTGATTTTTCCTTCAAAAAAACCCAAAACATCCATTCTTCCTAATACAGTTATAAATCATTAAATCTGTATCCTCCATCCCCTGGGACAGTTCAAACCAAGCTGCTAAACCTGGAGGGGGGCCAGAGGTGGTGTGAAGCATAGGTTACTTCTAGCTGACTGAGCATTCTGCAGTGACAGCTTGAGCCTCAGGAGGAATCTGGATGGCCCCTCTTTATCCTAGCATATTGGTGGAGACACATCACAGACTTCCCCCTCCTTCTGTTTTGCAGGAGACCTTCATCTCTCTCCACAAACATATGCACCAATTTTGGACACATTCCATTTTTTCCCATTTGTGTTATAAAAAAAAAAGATACCAGAAACCAAGACTCCTGTTGACCTGGTAGAACAAAGGGCAGAAGGATGAGGGGGAACATAATTTCACTCTGAAAGCCTTGCAGTCTTGTAGCAGATTGAGGAAGGACAGAAATTACAGCTAAGGGGAGAAGATAAGGCAAAACATGCATTGTTTCAAAACCCTTGACATCATACTGCATCATCTGCTTAAGCTAGAAGCTTGAGAGGTCAGAGTGTGGTCTTAACACAAATTTATTGCAAAGTCTGCAGGAAGTTTCTGCCATTCATGGGGCATCCACAACCTTTCCATTAAGTACCACTGTCAATTGAGGATTCATGCTACCATCCTCTGACCAGCCACGTCTCTCTTCAACTGAGGAAAGCATCTAAGCACATATGTAATAAGCACATGAGAAATTTCACTGAACTCAGTTACATATGTGCCTAGGTGTACTGCAAAATTGGCAACTTTGATGTTTTTTCATCCTGTATCTTGAGCAGGGGCTAAATGAAAATTGTAGCATTAATTCCAAGTCATCCATATGTTTCACCTTAATCCTGATTGACTAAATATAATTTAAAGATATAGTTATCCAACACATATTGGCCTTTGCCAAGGAAGGATTTGATTTTTTTGATGTAATAAAAATTATTGGGAACCTGATCTCAGGCTCTCCCTGCACTTGTGATAAGGTGTGATGGGATCTAGTGCACAATCACACCTCCTGCCATGAACATGTGGTACAGAACAGGGTGCAATTGTGTGGATCTCACATTAGATCCCTTTTGATGTAATAACAAGACAATAGAAGACATGACTAGGAACAGTATAAAGTTAAAAAATATGTTAACAATATTTCTTGGGAGCAATAAGAAATACTTCATAAAGTTGAGAGCTGTGACTGCCATTGGTGGAGCCTTTATTGTGTGGCTTTAATTTCTGAAGTTTTAAATATGTCCTAAAGAATGGTCTTATGAGCTCAAATACTAATAACTCTTCTCCAAAGTTTTCTTTCACTTCCTTTATTATAGCTGCATATATATTTTATATGGTGGTGTTCCTAAATTTTTTAGGATTGTAGTAGTAGGAATTATATTTCCCTAAAGGTTTTTAATATATAGTGGTATTAATTTTTTATAATAATAAGGAAAATACATGGGATCTTATTTTAATGACATTTAAGACATAAATGTAGTGAATTCCTTTGATGCATAGACTTATTTTTCTTTTCAAGATTCACTATAAGCAGTTTAATTTCCATTGTTTTGGTGGGACTAAGAATAAAGCTCAATATATACCCACCATTTTTAAAACGTATAGCTTAAAAAGGTATTTTCATGGTATATGTACACTGTACCACATAAGGATATAAAAAATGAACCATTATTAAACCTGAATATTATGCTGACAATAATGATGATTAAGAACATGAAGAAGGCTTCTCTTTTATATATTAAGTTGTCTAAAAATATCATCATTTTTTTTGTTACCTAGATGGACCACTGTAAAGTTTGGCAACCAGTCTGTATTCAGAAATTTAATTAATCTTCAGTCACATGAAAAATAATTATACATGTAATGTTCTGCTGAAAAGGTGCATTTAATCTGCTTCCATTTGACAGCTACATTTTTCTTCTAAGCAGAACAGCAGTGGCTTTTCAATATTAGGTATGCGCATAGCTTGAAAGAATGAGATCAGAGCAAAGGTCTCTCAGCTGGTTTTTAAAAAAAATCTAATGGTGTTTGGCAATGGCAGTAAAAACACCTTTCTTCTCTGTGACAGAAGAACCATCAGCATGAATTCTCTTTCTTTATCGCCCAGAAATCAAAGTCAGAGGAGAGAAGCTGCTGTTAGTGTAGATACATTCAGGTTCCTCATGCTAACATATGTACTATATGTAGTTCACACCAGCCCCTCTGAGTTCCATTAGCCCCCTGCCTCAGGAGTATTTTAACAGGCAAGTGAAATAACATTAATGTTTCCATTATCATCAGTTAATCAGTGGTGTGTGTGGTGCCTACTTTTAGGACTTTCAGTTACTGCTACTTCTATATAGGAGAAGTGACTTCTTCGATGATAAAAATGAGATTTAAAAAAAAAGAATCCAACAACAGGTACAGGAATAGACATGTGTTCCTGGTGCTAAGAAGACATCACCCTCCAGCTATGCAGTGCATTGTGCTGTGTGCTTGGTAACAGCATACTTGGTGGCCCATTCTCTGCATTGGCAGTTCTCTTCAGCTTAGTTCACTTTATTAGAGGATAAGGATAAAGCTCGGTGCTTTACTGTCCCTTTGACAGTCAGTAAGAATGAAATGCCCAGCTGCTGTCTGTAGGTTTGATACTCCTTGTGGACAAGGATTTCTTTGGCCTGGATAAAAGGTTGGTCTTATGGTTAACACAGGCTCTTGGGAAACTGGGTCTTATTTCTGACACAGACTTCCAGTGTGCTTTTGAACTAGCCACTTAATCTCCTAGTCCCTGAATTTCCTTATTTGTAAAATAGAGTTAAATAGGGCAGTGTTTTAAAGTAGAAAATGCATTTTTGCACGTTCCTAACTGAAATATCTCTTGGATTTAAAATCAAAGATTAATCAAAATTCAATTCAACGGGGAATAAAACTAGTGGGATTATTCAATGGGCAAATGCTGTCACAGTTATCAAAGTCTTAACCTTAAGGAATCAAAATAAGTTTACAAGAAAAAATAAAGAAAACCCCAGCTCAGAATGCCACCTGGGTCTTTGGCTTCTCTGTACAGCCCTGTCTTCCCAAGTAGGGAGCTCTGTCTTCTCCTACTTTTTCCCTGACAAGTGTTTTTACAGCTTTCTCCCTAATCATCTGACAAGCTGAGAAGGAAGGTGGTCTGGAGTTAGTCCTTGTTCCCTATTATCCATTTTGTGCTCCTTTCAAACTAAAACAGAGCTTAGGAATAGGATGCCAAACTTAGTGATAAAGGGGTTACATCCTCCACATAAAGTTTCTTAGAATCGTGTGGAACTACTTGCGTAAAGAAGGTGACAGGCTATGTTGCAAACTAGTCTCATAAGTCCATGAAAGCTCTAGAACCAGGATAGTTCTTTTGCCAAAGATAGGGGAAAACTATAGCTGCAAAAAAAGCCATTCAAAGAGATGCTAGCCATCTGCAAGTTCAATTAGTGTGATTTGACTTAACTGATCACTTGGAAAACGCCCTCTTGGAAGGCAAAGAGAAGAGTCTACAGTCACTGGTGCAACTCTGAGTTATGGTTGTGGAGTTGCTCCACAGGTGAAGCCCCAGGTCTCATCATAAGGTATACTTGTTACTCACCTTTGGGATACTATTGTCTAGTATCATTTCTGATGCAATACTGTTACTGCATTGTTTAAAGATTCAGATGTTCTTTCCTGTTACCTGTTTTACAAAGTATCCTTGCTTGCTAGTCCCAGAAGCCATAGGCTTGAGCCTAAAACCTGAGTAAAGCTGAGCAGTCAACAAATAGTTATGAAGTCTTTGCAAAACATTTTTTGTGTTCTGCATTCATTTATCAGTGCTTCCCCAAGTCACTTGTTTTGTCTCACAGTTTGATTTTTTCTACTAATCAGTTAACGTGTTCTTTCGTTAAAATGAATGTGACATTACACGGCAGTTTGAATAAATAAATTAGGCTTTACAAGGGATAGTTTAGCAAGCAATTTTTAATGGTGTTGTTTTGTGCGAAGAAGACTGAAGCTACAGAACAATTTCACACATCACAGGGAACAAAAAATTGCAGCATGCATTTGGATAATCAGAAAATCTGGAAAAAATTGATGCTAAAAATAGAAAATGACGTTTCCAGTTCATTTCCCCTGTCATTTTGTTTACATTTCCTCTTTAAAGAAGAAAAACACTAGCCTCAGCATGAGTTTACTGAAACCCCTTTACCAGCATTTACTTGCACACTGATGGAGACAAATGTCCCTTTAGCCATTCTGCCTCAAATATCATCTTGTATGGGCAGCATGGTACTTGTGATTTATGGAACTTTCAAGAATATGTCATTGCCATGGCAATTAATGTATGCTCCCTGCTGCTGTACACAATAATTGCTCCTGGAAATTAGATATTATTCTTAATTTTTTCACAGTTTATCAATTGCAAGTTTGTTGTCATAGCTGCCAGGACAAATCAAGTGACCTTGCACACCATGGTAAACTCATGGGACTCACTCGTGATAACATCTCTATGCAGCAATAAAAGAAATGTGTATGCCATACAAAACTACACATAATCTCTTTTAATGACAGGATTAATCTGTCCACTGGAAGTGCAAATTTGCTAAGGTTAGATCTTCTAGGACCAGAGAGGTGAACAAATAACTTCATCCTAGGTGGCAATAGAAATAGATTTGAAATGTAAAGTAGTCCTTTATTGCCAAGTAAGGCACAGAAACAAAGTAGCTAGATAAATCTAATCAGATCAGGACAAAAGTCTCTAAGGTCTGAAACCCTGAAGCTGATGCTGGAAGTTGTAAATGGACCCTCATGTTGTAGTTCAGGCTCAGCTCTAGGGTGGCAAGAGCTCTTAAATTCACTTGCCTTCTCTCCATGCTGCTGATATGAAAGGACAGCTTTCAAATCTACAAGGGGCTTTTGTTGTTTCAGTGTGGCAGAAGCTATTGTGAGGATACACTGAATCAATTAAACCTTTGGCCCCCTTTGCTGTGCCAGTGTACCCTTCTGTTTTTGGTCTGTGTGGCTCTCTTGTAGGCCCACAGTAGAGTAGAGGTGATGGTTATTCACCCACTACTGCTTTTCCAACATACAGCCACCCAGAGGACCAGACTGAGTCCTTTTTCTTTTCATATTCACACAAGCAGAAGCCAATGTAAACCATATGCTAAGTTTAGCCCAGAGAGTTTCAAATCTGCAGACAGTTTAAAATAATAGATAATCTCATGATAAAGAGTGGATTCCCCACAGAATTATTATGTATATTTCTAGTTCAAATAAGAATTTTACTTGTTTTGCAGAATAATATCTGTGGAGCTACCAGAAGATGCAAGACAATTTGGTATTCAGTTCAGATGGTGGCAGCCATATCACTCTTCTCAGGGCGAAGATGTATGGGCTGTTGATGAGATCATCATGACATCTGTGCTTTTCAACAGCATTAGTCTGGACTTCACAAATCTAGTTGAAGTGACTCAGTCTCTGGGATTCTATCTGGGAAACGTTCAACCATATTGTGGCCATGACTGGACCCTTTGGTGAGAACCTTGAATATTGCATTCAGCTATTTAATTGAATATAATACATGTGAGTTGTATAAAGAGATCATTTTGTTTCATTGTCCTGTTAATTAATTTCTGCAAATGAATCTTTCTACTTGTAGTAATTGTATCTCATGTACATGCCAGTAAGAACACAACCAGTGACCTAAGCTATGTATCACAGAATCATGAAAAATTAGGGTTGGAAGGGACCTCTGGAGGCCACATCTAGTCCAACCCCCTGCTCAAAACAGGACCATCCCCAACTAAATCATTCCATCCCCAACAGATATTCATTTATCTGTTGAGAAATTTCCACAGATAGAAATCTTTCTGGGAGAGGGAGTGTACAGGTGTTCAGCTCCCTCTCTCCTGTTCTCCTCACCTTCCAGAGACCAAGGTGACCTGTTCTGGGGAAGGCATGAGGAGCAGTGCCTCCTTTGCTCCTCCTGGCAGAGACGAATTCCCTGTGTCTTCCCCAGACTGGGGTCTGGAGAATGGGTAGGGAGCAACCACCTCCACTCTGCTTCTGGTCCCTGAGGCTAGGGACATATATTCAAAATGCCTGAGCCTGAATTGATTCAATTTTTGCAGGTTAGTTTACCCTGCCTAGGTTGAACTAGTTTGCAACTGTACAGACATTCCCTCTGGACTGAAGAAATGCAGGCACATGCCTGCAGTGTCTTAGGCTAGAAGCTGGGGGGCACTAAAGCAGCCTTCCCTGCCCTTCCATAGTGTTGAGCTGAGGGGAGCAGGACCTCTGATTAGGGAGGGCTATAAACCCTCACCCTGCCTGCACTGTCCTAGTCTTTTCCCCGCTCATTGCTCAAGGGGCGGGACTGTTTCCAGACCCCAGCTAGCACTCTGAGGCAAAGGGGTGGGGTGGAGGAAGAGGGTGCAGTGCATGCATATGTTGATGTTTAGACATACAAAAAACTAGAACTCTTGGTTCCAAAATGATACCTTTTACTAGACCAACTGGAAAATAGCAAGAAAATTGTCCTTTTCTGCAAGCTTTTGGGGTTCAAAGTCCCTTCGTCAGGCTCTTGGAAAAGTGTAGATGGTACAAGATGATAAAAAGTCCCCATAGGTAGGAAATAAACTTCAGTTTTGCACAGAGGAGCTGAAGATGGACGTCTGTCCCTCTGGGTCCATGAGAGTGTCTTTATGAGCTGTGTTGAGTAGCTCTTTGATATGTTGATCAGGTAGAATTCCTTCCCTAGAGGTGTCAGATGGCAGCCAGGGAGGTAAAAAAAAACTTACTTGTTGTTCTGCAATGAAGTTTAAAATCCCAAATCAGCTAAAATTAGGCATCTTCCATGTTTCAGGGATGTACTTGGTAGCCATCTTGTTCTGAGACAAAAAGACATACAAAAAACTAGAACTCTTGGTTCCAAAATGATACCTTTTATTAGACCAACTGGAAAATGGCAAGAAATGTATCCTTTTCTGCAAGCTTTCAAGATCAAAGTCCCTTCGTCAGATGATACTGAGCTTTTCAGTCTCCCTCGCCCTGCTTCTTCATACTGTCTGCAGCAAACCTGACAGGTGAGGGAGCCAGCAGGGAGATGATAACTGTTTATTGGCCCATCAACAAAACAAAGGCCTCTCTCATTAGTTCAAGCTCTTCTTAAACAGCTTTTTCCAAGGAAGAAACAGAGGGACATTACCAGCTGACCTGTTGATTAGCTCCAAAAAGCCCTAAGCAGACACTGTTCTGTCTTCTTGTACCAGTGAAATTGAAGATACACGCAAACAAACACCTCTCAGCATTAGCTAGCATACCACATGCCTAGGGCCTGTGGGGCTGGGGTCCATGCTGTGGGAGATGCGGAGGAGGGGTCCCTGCTTGAGTAGTAAGCAGTGAAGGTGGGGGTGGGCAGGAGGAAGCAAGGCAGACTGTTGTGCCTGCAGTCTCTTCTGGAGCTTCGGCTAGGAAGCAGAGGGGCAGGGGCAGCTCTGCTCTCTGGAGCAGACAATCCCACCCAGGCCTGCAAAGCATCTGGGATGCTGGGGGATTCTCGTTTAATTTGAACCTGGAAGGGGTCTGGGACAGACATTGCATAAACCAGTTTGACCCAAATCAGTTAAGTCTGATACTACATCCAACCAGGTTTATCTTAAACAAGTTTCAACCATTTTGAAACTGGTTTATGTGCACTGATTCTGTTACAGGTTTAAACCAGTTTCTGATCACTTCAACCAGTTTATGTGTAATGTCTGTCCCTAGCCTGAGAGTGGAGCAGAGGGAGTAGTGATGCAAAGCCCCCAGCCCTTTCATTAAGCCAGGCAGTGTCCAGTTTGGGGAAGAGGCAGGGAGCAGCAGTGACTGCTCTTCTCCCCTCCCAGACCAGGTTGGGAGGGGAGAGGAACAGCCACTGCTGCTCCCTGCCTCTTCCCCAAACCTGATACTGTCTGGCTTGGGGAATGGGGTGGGGGTTTTGCTCCGCTGCTCTGTTGCCCTCGAAGACTGGTCCAGAAGGAGAGGAGCAGTGGAACAAAGTTTACTGCCCATTCCCCAGACTGGGGACCCCAGAAGCCAAGAGGCATGAGCTCAGACCAAGAAGACTGAGCTCTGCTCTCAGTCTCAGGGAGCAGAATGGAGGGAGCAGCAGCCCCCTGCTGCTTCTTGCTTCTTGGACTGTGGAGTGAGAAGCAGGAAGAAGGCAGTTCTGTTCTCTTCACCCAGCTCCAGGTGCCTGAGGCTTTCTGCTTGGTCTGATCTCAATCCACTTTGCTTCTAGTGCTCAGGAGCTGAACAGACTGAGCCTGCTCCAAAACCTGGGACTCCACTGTGAGGAGAGGGCAGGTGCTTTGCCCTGCTACTCTGAGGAGAGCCTCCCCAAGCCTGCTCCCAGGCCCTCCAGCTTTCCCTTGTTACCTGCACTGCCTAGCTGTGTACCATAGACAGCAATTTAAAAGCTAGCAGGCCCAGGTCCAGGAGTTGAGGAGGCTTTCCTGGAGCGTGGTCCCACCCCCCCACCCCAGTTTTTAAATCACTGCCCCTATCACATAACTGGGTGGCAAGGGTGAGGGGAGTGCAGAGGAGATTCAGAGGGAGCTGGCAAAGCCCCTCCTCTCCAAACTGAGAACTACCTGGTTTGGGAGAGAGGCAGGGAGTGGTGGCTGCTGCTTCCTCACTTTTGATCTTCAGCAGGCATGGAAGCAGCTTCCCCTGCCTTCTCCAGACTGCTGTGACCATGGTTGCAGGAAGGCATGGGAGCCTTTCCAGCTCCACTTCTGGTCCAGGGGAGGAGTTCAGCTAGGGGACAGTATACACACATTCATTCACCTGGGAGAGATTCCCCAAATGTGCGATGCACTTTCCAATGACAAAGCAAGAAACAGCTTTTCTCATGAAGAAGTTAATTGTGGAGGCAAGAGATTTTACAGGTTATATCTTTTTTTTTTTTTTTTGGTACCAACTACGTATTTGGGATGGATTTAGAAAAGCTTTCTGGTACCACAAATCTCTGGGAGAGAAGCTTGCACAGGAGAGCTAAACAGCAAATGGAATGGGGGCTTGTGTTAAACCCCCAGTGTAAATAAAACAGGATATAAGAGAAATTATCAAGTAGTAAACAGACTTAATCTTTTCTCTTATATCTTACTTTATTTACATGTGGAGTAAATAAAGTAAATTACAAGCGTTTATTCCATCATCTATTTAGCTGCTGTCTCTGCTTCTCTCCTAGAAACCCTGTGAAGCATACACTGATACCCAAAAGCCCTGCAGCAGCTTTTCAGTGCAGCTCTGGGTGGGTGTCGTGCTCAGGTGCAGATGGCATGGAACAGAGTTCCAATTTGAGTTTTCAACTGTTACTTCCATTTTGGAGTAATTTGCAGCCTCAAGATCCTGGTATGAACTTTGTCACCTCTGTTAGTATGGCCCAACCTAGATATATGGATGGGACAATTCTAATTAATAGCAATGGGACTTAAAGGGAATCATTTGATTTGAACTGAGTGGCTTTTTACATACACTTTTAAATTAAATTGTATGGCACATTTTAGCACTGCACAAGAATCATTTCTTTTTTGTAAATAGGTGATATCTATCCACAGAAATAAAGTTTTGACCTTTTTTAATATAACAGGTTAATATAAGATAACAGCAATTTAATTTCTGTGCCTTGATCAAAACCCAAACAACAGTTTCATCTTAGTGTGATAAAAAGTTTTAATCTACTGTGGCTTTAACTGGTATAAATACGTTTAGTCTGAGACAGGACAATTGTAGTAATTAGAAAACCTTAAGGAAATATAAATAATTGTAGAATCCCCATGGGCACCTAGAACAGCACCATAGGAGTTTTATTAACAAGTACACTGGAGCAATCTGATTTGACTTTCTGATCATCCCTCAAACTAAAAGGAGTTGACTTGACTGAGGAAACAACACAGAATGTGCTCTGGCAGTGATAATGAGGCTGTAGAAACAGCATTAACTACTTTAATAAGGACAAGGAAAGTACTCACTGCTCATTAAAATGAAACAACATGGCAGGGCTCAAACTGTTTGCATCTTCTTAATCAAAGCGCTAGAATGAAAGCCCTTTAATGACATTGTTTCCCCTCTGTTACTGTAAAACTAACATAATATATTGTCTTTCAAGATTAGATGGGAAAGCAAAAGTTCTGTTTTATTTTCTTCTGAATACAAATTTTAAAAAGGTTTAATAGAGTTCAGAGTCCCATTTACAAACAACTCATGAGTGTTTTGTACTTATAAAAATGTTAATCCTTTCTTACACCAAATCAGCAAGTAAAACCAGTGGAATACCTGTATTGTAATGTTGCTTAAGTACTCTTCAGGCTTGCTGTAAGACATGAACTATACCCTTCACTGACCTTGTTTCTCTCAAGGGAAATTTTTTAACTTATACCAGATCTGTACAAATGGCTGGTAGTTAAATTAATTATTGTTGGCTTTTCCCAGCTGTGAGTCCATTTGGTTCTCATTTTCGAAGTCATGACTTTCTATGAGTGCAGGTTAT